AATTATGCCCACAGATAAACTGGAGCTATTCCCTAAGCAGTAGATATGTTATAATATTTTAAAATGTTGCCTTATTATTCAGTAAATACTTGTACCTATCCTTTGCAAAAGCCATTACCAATGTAGAGCAAGCATATCTTTTAAATATATTTATAAAATACTACAGGATAGAGGATTGAACGAGAAGTTACTGGGTCAAAATTGTAAAGAAAGCAGAAATCCTGAGAAGTGAGCAAGCACGGGGAGCAAATCCACGTTTGCTCCAAGAATATTTGTCAATTAAGCAGATCTGTGTTTCGCATTTAGTGCCTTTAAAAAAAGGTGGAGACAAAGTCAAGGTTCTGGGTCCACGAAGGTGAGAAATGTCTTAAAGATCCTCTCATCTTTAAGTTGGGTCATCAGAGTGTTGCAGATTATTTTACTCCATTTTCTGGTACTGTATTTCTCGAGACTCCATAATTTATAAAGAATGGAGTAAATTTTGGCTCACAATTTTGGAGGCTAGGAACTCCAAGAAAACAGTCCTGGCATCTGCTTGGCTTCTGGCTAGGTCTTTGTGCACCCTTAAGTCATGGCGGGAAGCAGAAGGGTAAGTAAATATTTGTGGAAGGGGCATAAGAGGAAGGGGTGTAGAGGACTTGCTTTACCTGCTCTTGTGAGCACCTAAACCAGTTCCATCTACACCCCAGGGATGCACTAATCCCTTTCTAAGGGTGCGTACCTCATAGCTCAGAGGTCCTATGACAAACCATTTTCAAAGCATAGCACATACATGGGAGCATGAGTACATGAGATGACAAAAGGTAATAAACAATTCCTAAGGATTTGCATATCAAATTGGGATAAGTGTTTCTAATGCCCTGAAATTATTACTTTTAATTGAAGAATTCTCAGACTGATAGTGTCCCCAAATGTAAAGCCAAGTCTTCTTGAAGGCAACCTCACCTAAGTCTCACCAATGTCCTGTTTTCAGTGAGTGTGTCTTCCTAAAATAAATGAGTGCACAGTAAAACAAGATATCATAAGTCCAGAAAGGAAACAAAGAAATATATTCATATAGGTTTGAACTATAGTGATTACAGATAAAAAGTAGCTCTTCTTATTCTCTTAAAGAAATAAAAGGCTTTCTTTAAAATTTAAAAGTGTAATGTGCAGCATAGGAGACAAAGAAAACAAAACTCTAACCAAATTTCTGAAAATAAATAATTAAATAGCCAAAAGCAAAATTTCATTGGTTGGATTGAATATCAACATAGTACATTTAAAAAGGGAACTTGTTATATAATATTTAATTCAGAAGATATTATGCAAAAACTGGTACATATAGAGTCCAAACCTAAAAAATACGAATGACTCAGAGATAAGGATGAAATGGTAAATAAATTGCAGTGTGTGTTTAACTGGATTATAAAAAGCTGGGAGAGAAAGGGACAAGGACAAATGGGAAGATATAATAGTTGGGAATTTTGCATAAAAGATGAAGTATATTATTTCAAAGTCCTAATGAACTCCAAGTACAGTAAACAGTAAAAAGAAATCCATGCTGAAATATATATAATGCAGAGCAGAGCACCAAATATTTGTAGGAAGACATGGGGAAAAGACAGAGATGAAAGGTAACTTTCAAATGAGGGGCCAGTGGAGTACCAGCTTATTGTTTAGCAGCTGCGAAGTAACCCACAGAGAGCCTGTACTCTGAAAGTCACTACTTTTGAAATAAACCTCAAGATCTTGTCTTGTTTACTGTGAGATGCTTAGCAATATCTGTGCCTTCTGCCCACTAGATGCCAGCATCCCTTCTCAACACCCAGGCCACCGTTGTGACAACCAGCAAAACTTGACATTGCCAATCCTTCCTTGGGGAGCAATACTGACAACCACTGATCTGTACTTGACACCTACTGATAGAAATGCTCACTCATAAAAGAGCAATAAACAATGCCCTGTGGCTAGAACAGATTGAATTAAGACACACAAAACAGTAAGAGAGAGAAATGAATATAAGAGAGAAAAGATACATTAAAAAAAACAGAGGAAAGAAAGAAAGGCAGGAGACAGAACCGGAGGATTAGAGACTCAAGCTTAAAAGCTCAGTCGGTAATTACATTACAGATCAATGAGATAAATGGTCCTGTTAAGGGCAAAGATTTGCAGCGTAGATAACCCAAGAAAATTTTAAGTACACACTGCCAGTGACAAACACATCTAAAAGCGAAGGACATAACAATGTGAAAATGAAAAGACAGAAGATAGGATCTTGAAAGAAACCAGGTGTAATTGCACTCAACCTGACAAAATGCCCTTTGAGTGTCCTGGCTTAGTCAACATGGGTGTCCTGATTGTTTCAAATCTGTGATGCAATGGAACAAGTCAGCCCTTTGGTGCTGTTTGCCAGCATTTGTACTGTCTGTTTCATGCCTACAAAATGAGACAGCAGGGGGAATAATAGGGTTTTACTATAGCCAGGGGCAAAACTGATAACAATAGGGCCAAAACCCTTCCAGTAAGGTTCTACGGGAATTAACAGGGCTGGCTTTCATCTTAGTGATAGGGAGGAAGACACTGGAGACAATGGATTGAAACTCTTTTATGAGAAAGCAGGCCCCGTGATTTGTACTGGAAACATTTCTTAATTAAAAAAGAATTGTACAACTGTGTTGAGTAACTTTGGATAACTCTATGATTGTGATCTTTCTGTCTCTCTGTCTTAGCTCTGTATTCCTCTTTCTCGATCTCATATACACAAAAGCAAACGAAAACCGGCATGTGGAGATATTTTGTACTCCCTAAGACAGAAATCTGAACCTGTTTAAAAAAGTGTTTAGCATAAGCCACGGAATCATCCGCTTAATTTTATTTATTTTGGCCAAGAGGCTGCTGCAGATGTTGATTGTTACGGAATGTGACCACGTGAGCAGTGCAGAGGATGACTCAGAGTGGGGTGGAAAAACAACGCATAGAGCGAAGAATCCCAGTAAATTTTATAAGCAAGTTTAACTGCGACCTGGTCATAGGTTAGTAAGCGTGTCTTTGCAACTCCTCAGAGTCTGGTTTCCTTTCAGAACACCAAGGTAATTCACTTAACCCTGAGAGAAGCTGTTGAGATAATTGAGCAATCTTTAATGAAAGGGGATGGAATTGCACATAGGTTAAAAAACGCCTTCAAAGAACTGCTCTGGGGGATCTGGGAGACGATAAAATGCCTCGCCTGCTCTTTTATCATGTTCTCATGCCAACGTACCTTCACTGCAACCTCAGGAATTTGGACCTTGAGGTTAGGTTCTGTCTTCACACGGGAATTCTGTGTGACCTTGTCAGCCCCAAAAGCAGGACGATAAGCAACCCAGAGCTCTCAGGAATGACCATGTTTTTAAAATTCTATAAATAGGCTGAGGTTAATTATTAAGCTCTCAAGTCTGTCTAGTAAGTGGACAATGAAATTACTAACCTGCAAATCTCATTCCTGCACACATCCAAAGCCTCTGAAGTTTTGATCAACTTCCCTTCTCATGCTAGTCATCAATACTTTTTTGGCCCTTATCCTGTGTTGTTGAATTGCATGTTTCTTTTATATCATCACATTATCTGCACTGCTAATAAAATATCTGTACATAGGAGTAGCATCCCAATATAATGAATGCATCATAATGAATTCCTTATATATTTAATGAAGATCAATTGTTTACCATTTTATATAGACTCCCATTTATAAAATTATGTTTATTAAAATGCACTATTTCAGCTCTGTATTCTATTTTCACTGTTCTAGTTTGACTAACATATGCCTGTCAATATCAACCCTTTAGTCCCTGAAGAAAGTTATTGCTACTGTCATGAGCTCTTTGAAACTTCATTCTCTTCAAATATCAACTCCCTATATTTTAAGAGTAGCTTATATCGTATTTAAATGTAGTAATTCATAAATTATGATACTAAAACAAAAGTGTCTTTGTCTTTTTTTCCTCCATAGCGAGACTGGAGAAAGTGTTTGCTAGACAGAACTTCGCATTTAATCAAGTTCACAGTAACTGGGTCAGACAACCACTATTACTATAGGACACTGGCCAGGACATATTACACTTGTTATATGGAACCTGCCATTACAATGGTTTTCATTTAGATGAATTCTTCTTTTAGATCCAAAACCACATTTTGTCTTGCAAAATATTCTTTCTCTTTTCAGTATGAATAGGTTCTGTACTCCAGCACCATTCTCATTTTATTATTTTGTCATCATTTCCCATATTTAACCTAGGTCTAACAATGTATCATCCTCTCTCATAAATGATGATAAATATTTTACTTATTTTCTCTGTGTCATGTTTCAAAAAAGACTGATTATTACTGAGCTAGTTTTTTTTTTTTTTTGGGTTTTTGGTTTTTCTCCGGTACCAGGAACCGAACTCACGACCTTGCGCTTGCCAGGCAAGCGCTTTTGCCGCTGAGCTAAATCCCCAGCCCCTACTGAGCTAGTTCTGCCATTACCACATTATATGAAAAGCATACTTATATCTTATATTAAGGAAGTATTTTAAGAAGAGAGTGTGTTGGGGCTGAGGATGTAGCTCAGTGCTAGGCCACTTACTAGTATGTACAAGGCCTTGGGCTCAATAGTTAAACATGCCACACACACACACACACGTACATGTACATGCACATACATATATATATATATGCACAAGTTATGTGTAAGAAGCACCTTTAGTATCCTTCTTCTGCCTTGTGCTTACATACACAGTTTGTTGTGTAATATTCTCACAGAATAAAAATACTTATGTATATATAAATATTTATATCAAGATAAGATAGATTATCGTTGATATGACCAATGGATATTTCAAAATATTTGGTAGAAAGTATCTTCATGATCAGTTCATTTTTAATAGAGAAGACATGTGAGACTTAGAATAAGTCACTTGCTAGTGTCTTAAATCCCGGTATTTAAGTAATTAAATAAGAAGATAAAACACAAAAAAAGATAAAACTAAGTAGAGGTTTTTATTTCCATGACATTTTTCTTGATATTCAGACTAAATTTTTAGAATATCCGTAGTCTTTCCTTTCCTGTAGGCCTTCTTTCAGTGATGGATAAGAAAGGAGTCAGCTTCCAGGACCGATGGTCTCGTGAGGATGCTGCTGTGCTCCTTCGGGTTGCTCCCATGTACATGGTGACTAAAAGTTAAGCTTTATGAGAACAGAAATCCTTCCTTTTTTGTTCATGGGTGGATTTGAGCATCTGTAATGGAACCAGGGACATATTATGCATTTAGTAAATATTTATTATTAGAACATTTATATAATTTTTCTAAGTTAGTATTATATCTATTAAGACTCTTACATTGTACATGTTTTTGATTTTATTCCTAGGAGCAATAACGATGGTGCCCCTTCAGGAATGGTGCCCCAGTGAAGGTAAGACTGAGGTATACTTGGATTTATTTGATTTACCTGGACATTAAAACACTTTGACATGGCATATTTTGATAACACTGCTAAGTGATTCCATGCTGCAGATATAACACACCTGTATACTTAGGGGAAATGTTAGTGTTATTATTTAAAATCAAAGCCAGTAAAACTATGCCACTTTCACAGTTTAAGACCCAATGTAGACTTGCGAATTAGTCATGCAATACCACCAGAGGCACATCTGCATTGAGTGCTAAAGGGAGGAGGCAACGGAGACTCAAAATATGCCCTGGAATATGTTAGGGTGTCTACAACACAATATTGTGCAAATGAAAACATTGCAGAAAGCAATTACTTTGTGCCATGTCTATAATGAGGAAAAAACAAATATGGCAGGAAAGAGGATGATTTAACGCTTTTATTTCTCTCCTTTTCTTTTGCCTGCTATCTTCTAGAAAAATGAAAAGCCCACTCTACTGTAGAAAAGTCATATCATAAGAATGAATCATCATATACATAGTTAAAAGTATGCAGAATGAGTGCAGAGTATTATTTCCAACATTTGCATCATTTTTAAGAAGTGGAAGCAACAGATTTGGAACAGTATGTATTAAGAAAGTTAGAAAATAAAATTTAAAATTCAAAAAATTCCCTCCACATTTCTATGCCAATCAAAGTTTACACTGCCCAAAAACTTCGTAGATGTATTAGAAATGCTTGCAGATTGGGAGGTAAAATGCATCTGTTACCCATTGTTAATTGAGAGAAAACTCTATTGATCATATGTGAATAATAATTTTCTGGCCAGAAAATCTGCTTAACATTAAATCATTTCAGTAGCTACTTATAGGAATCTTCTGAAGTTTGCAAAATGAAAGCCCACAAGGAGATGGAGCAGGGGGAGAAGGGAAGGGTGGGAAGGGAATGAAAATAGGATTAAGATGTGTTATATACATACACTAACTTCCCATGGTGACTGGTGTACACATACTAATAAAAAAGATGATGCTCAAATTTTCAAAAATGTTATATAATAAGATTATTGAATTAATCTTATGATCAGTTTATTTAATTGAGCACCATCTCATCTCTGTTTTTTTTTCTTACACAGGGAGCATATGCATATTTTCTCCTTTTTTCTCAATCTCATTTTAAGATTAAAAAATACGATTTGTACCTCCCTGAAATGTTTGTCATCTGCTTGCCAGTTCTAATACACTTTGGGATGACTTGACAGCAAAATATTACTATAGAATCCTGTGATTTTTTTTAAAATATGAAAAGGTTTTACATTAATATTGTTTGAAAAGCAAAGCCTTTGAAACATCTTTATAGCAAGTGAGAAGAGCAGATCCTGTCTTAATACTCCACCTACTACATGGCTTTATTGAAGCACGAAAGCATGGAAAAGTTTTATGACTCTGTGAGCTCAATGATGTTTATGGGCATAGCTTGAATACCAACCTAAATAGGGTTACCAGGTTGTTCTAACATAAAGGATGTCCAGCTCAATTTTTATTTCAAATTAACAACCACTAAATCTATTTTAGTAAAACTGAATCTCAAGTATTCCATAGTGTCCTGATATGTCCATTTTATGAGGTTCCCTAGTGAAACAAGCTGTTCTCAAAAATAATGATAAAAGTATCTCTCTGTAAGAAGAAGAAAATACCATATACAAGAGTGTTGAATTAGCCTAGGGCTGGGGTAGATTGAGAAAAAACTAAAATTTCCAGTGAGAGACTTAGTTTAGCATCTGAAGCTTTGTAGAGTGATATTTTACATGCAGCATATCCATGGAATGTATATTGTCTGCTGATAAAAATTCATTTCATTCAACAAACATTTATTTAATCACTAGCTTTTACCAAGTACTGTAAAACAGCTGTGGTTTTTCTTATCCAACAACAAAAATAATAAATTTAGAACCAAAATGCATGCATGCTGGTGTTCACACATATCCAGATAAATAAACACATTGCCTTCTTTCATCTTTATTCCTCACTGATTTTGCTTAGCTCACACAAGTCACTGTATAATTTAACTTCCCATCTGCATAAAAATGGATGATGTGACCATGCTTTCATAACCTGACATCAAGTTTCTAGGGAACATATCACATTACCACCTGTCTTAAAGGATTTGGGTCTGACTTTTGCACATGTAAAGTGTTGCCTCACAGATAAATTCCAATTTTCATATTTTACTCTTTTACAAAATAAGCTGCGGTATCTGCTTTACTAAATGATGATTAAGATGGAGAGGGATTTTAATTTGCTTAAAACTTTAGTAAGAAATTTTTAAAGGTAACTGTAGTTGAGTAGTCCATAAATGTCTACATTAAATTTTTCCTAGAAGGAGAAAAAATCATAAATAATCAGTGGAGTTTTTTTCTCATTTATATCACCTTTAATTTTTGAAGTGAGATGGAACTGGGCCTATACCTATATTTTGCCTTATCGCCACACTGGAGCTTGAGAAGTAGGTAGTGAATCATGTTGCCTTCTTTCCGTAATGTTGGTTTTAATTTCAGTGTTTTCAACAATAACTCAAATACTCAGCAAACACTATGCTTTCACTGATGTGAAGAACTATATAAAGACTACAACAATGAATACATTATGGAGGGTGAGTAATGTAAAATGTTTGTAACATGCTGTATTAGTGACATTTCTATAAAATTGGCAGTGTATGCGGATTTTCATTCATTTAGCTGTTATCACATTTGTAATGTTTCTAATAAAATATTGAATGTTATTTAAAAGGTAGCTCATTTTTATGCTTTCCCAAAGTCAAATTTTATCCTATACATCTTCTCTTTTTCTCAAATCAGTCTTTAATGTTAGAATCACCAATAAACGTACTGACTTTTTGAAGGCAATTTAAATTATTCTTTTTCCTGAGATAGACTGAAGGGTCCCATATGTTGATTAAGACTGAGTAACATAGAGAGTAACTTGAAACCAGGGGAAACATTTTTTGGAGAAGCTTTTGACCCAAACACTAACCAAAGAGATAAATTCTTTGCTGTGGTTTTAAGTAGTGGTGCCTAAACAACATGATAAATGCACTGACATTTACAGAGTTCCCAATTAGAGCCAAGATATCTTAATGCACTCTTTGGCATCTCAGAGCACATACACTCCATACGAGGGGCTCAGATTTATGGTGTGAACGCAGCCTACCATATGCGCCACAGCTCTTTCCTATTTAGCTCTTTCCTCCAGCATCTGGACAGATTTGCTTCTTTGTTTTGATCATTCCTTTCTTGACTATTTGCAGACTACGTTTTCTCCTCTAAAAGCCTTTCATCTATTTTCTTCTCATTCAGATCTTCCAACATATATCTGAAATAGAAAAGAAAGGCATTTACAACTGTTTGACCATTTGTTCTTATCTGAAGCTAACACACTTATATATATTTTCCCACATAGCACAATATATTCAGTCACTTCAGCTTATCTTCAGAGAGACTGGGTCAGAGTGTAGGAAAAACAAATATACTAATTGCTTTTGTAATGTGGATTTGGATAACATTTACTGTAAAATAATTTTCACTTAGCAAAATACTGCCTAAACAATAATAAAAACTGAATCACATATAATTAAAAATTCTTGAAAATCACTAAGATATAACTTTTTGGGTTGAAACACTTTCAAAACCAGCACCTGAAAAGATTCAAGACCTACTTCTGAATTTTACGTTAAAAATTTCATTAGCAATTAATCATAGTGTTTGACAACCACTATTGAGTATTTTAGATGCTAAAAATAACATTAATGTGAGAAAATAATTATTTTGATGATTCATGTGCCCAAATATTTTAAATGTAAGTTGTATTTAAAATCATTAAACTCATATGGGATTCAAGTTAATTTTCCTAAAAGTATCCCTGATATATTGAATTTATATGGGTTAAAGAGCTCCTTTAAAGCCAGTTGGTAAGAGTTCATTTGAAATGAATATATGACTATGTAGGTTGGCAAAGCTCTTTGGTATACAGGTTCACAAAGACTGTTCGTGATACTTTAAGATTTACCAAAGTGAGATTCACATCACAACTCAGATAAACCTTATTGGCGATGATGCTGCTACTGAACAAAGGTATTCTTCAGTATTTATTAAATTGTAAAACTTGTGACATTTTTAGACATGAGAAAATTTTTGTTAGTTCTAAATTTTGTGGTTTTTGTCCTTTACATTTCAATACCACATAATATTTTGCATTTTCCTTGTAATTTACTTACATGTCATAAGATGCCAATAGATTTTTTGTGATGTAACAAAGTTATGCTTTACAATGAATATTTTGCTTGCAAAAATAAGCTTAAAGAAATTGATTATACATATATTGTGAAATATTTTTGAAAATAAAATGTGAAGTATAAGTAATTCAACATAACTCTAGTTATTTTAGGTTACAATCATAACATATACTGAAATGTGTTATCTTCATATCACAGATACTTATGTTGGCAGGAGATATTGACATTTTAAAAATATAGAATACAAATTTCGGAATTCTGCCCAATCATTAAAGTATAGAATATTCCAGCTTAACTTTTTCTCCAATTTTTACAATTACCTTGCTCACAGTTAAAATGGACAGCAACTGTTTTAGAAACTCATTTTTGATTAATGCTTCTAAATTTTTCTTTTTTTCATTGAAATTACAGCTTTTTGTAACTGTATTTACTCCAGTCACCTGTAAATTAGTTAATGATTATGGTTCCAATAACAGATATAAATTGGAAAAGAAATTTCAGGAAAACATAATCGTTTTGGGAGCTATAGCACAAGAGAAAAAAGCATGAAATGCTAGAAATGCAAGAAAAATGGAGAGGTGAGCCAATTGGTTAAGCAGAATTCCACTGGAGCACTGCTATTGAATTGAAAAATTATAAAGGAGAAAATATCAATGCCATTTTCCCAGAATAAAAATTTAATATTTTAAATATTTATTCCCATTTCTGTATATATATGCATACACATTACACATATGTATTTATTCAACTGTACTTGGCTAATATTTATTGTGTTTATCTTGTGAAGCAATAGGTTAAATACGTCATCTTACTGAAATCTGAAGACAACTGGATACTACTCAGTAGTGCCTGCGTCAAGTCTGATGAAATGCTAGTCAAAGTGGGAGTTTGATATTTATTCCCCAGAGTGAGCAACTAATTTTGGAATATACAATCATGCTAAGGGAAATGCTTCCAGAGGAGAATATTTTTCTTTTTTTTTTTTTGGTTTTTCTCCGGTACCGGGAACTGAACTCACGACCTTGCACTTGCCAGGCAGGCACTTTGCCGCTGAGCTAAATCCCCAGCCCCTGAGCTAAATCCCCAGCCCCAAGAGGAGAATATTTTTCAATAACCTTAATATCTCTAAAATATTAGACTTGCTGGAACAAATATAAGAATGTTTATTATTATAAACAAATATGGGCGCCATCATAAGAATGTGTTCTGCTATTGATTACTACTATTGATACATATTGCAAGGAAACACTGATAATGATTTCCACCTGAACTTGTTTACAAAATAGTAAATATATTCTCTAGGAAGTCAGAAATACATAGAAAAGAATAAAGAACAAAGTAAAAATGGCAATTTATAAATCCACCATCTGTTTTAAAAATGATCATGTTTGAATTTTACTCTTTTCCTTTTGGTCACTATGTGTGTGTCTCTGTGCATGCTTGTGTAATTTTGTGTAATTATTTTTCTTTTAGTAACCTATGTTAACCTATGTGACAGCTTTGTTTCACTATGGACTGTTTGGCATGGTATGAGAACACTAGAATTTCACAGAGTTTCAAAGCTCAACCTTTGAATTCTGACATCCTGGAATGAAGTCCTAGTTCCCTTTCTAGCTATGCATTCTGGCAAATTAAAGGGGTCTTCTAAAGCTCAGATTATTTACATGGAAATAGTAACAACTATCTTGCAGATTCAAATGGATTGATCCATGTGACATATTTCATTCAGAAGATATTACATTTATTTATTTTCAATAGCTACTTGGTAAGCCATCAGTATTACAGGCTGTATTTTTTTTTTTTTTTCCTCCGGTACCGGGAACTGAACTCACAACCTTGCGCCTGCCAGGCAGGCATTTTTGCCGCTGAGCTAAATCCCCAGCCCCTACAGGCTGTATTTAAACAAATATCCTATAGAATCTCAGAAAATTCTTCTATAAATTAGAGAAGACTATGTCAGTACACTCATTTTCAAAAGACGGATTCTTTAGTAGCCATTTATGTATGGCAGTTAAAGTATGAAAAGAGAAATTAAAGAGTAAATTAATTAAACAACTGAAATAAGGGAATAGCTTATGAAAAATTATTAAACTATAAATCTTCACTTTAATGGGTTGACTATCTTCTATATTCCATTTACAATTTTTAAGAAAATATATACTGTCTAGTGCAACAACAGTTTGTCTCTTTAGTAGTGTATTTTTAATCTGAATTCACAGTGTATGTTCAAGGTTTTCATTTGTTTATTAAACTTGTGTTGATAAAAAATTTAACAGACTAATGGAGCGTAAAACATTGTTTAAAGTTGTCTTGCTAGGCTAACACAGAGGTTAATATTTTACTGACTTGCATGTTTTCCTGTCCATGCTTACGGAATCTCTTAAATCTCATGATTCAGAGAAATTAATTAACTGAGTTACTATTTGAGAGCGTATCACTTCTGGGAATTAATGTGTCAAAAATAAAATCTATGTCGTTTGTTACGTAAATCTATGCAATTTGTTAGAGTATTACTAATAATACTGGACAAAGTTGGACGTACAATTTAGTTAATTTTTAAGCATCTCAACAATGTACAGTACTATAAAAGTAGAAACTTCGAGTCTTCTCAAAGGTCACATGGTGAAATTCCCATGGTGAGTATAAGTTGAGTTTGCAAATATCACAAGAAGGGATGGTTTTTCAACATCTGCCTTCTCTATAAATTCTTAGTAGAACATTCAATTTACAACAACATCTTTCTCTTTTCACCTCCATATGCGCTTGAATTTTTCCAGTCTTGTTGGTTCATAAAAAAGATTTAGAAACACTGTCATAAAGTGTGGCAAACTAGTAATCTCAGCTATGTTTGTTAGTGTTCAAGACTTAAACAATTGATAGTACTTCTTATTTAAAAAAGTTTTAGCTAGTACTCTCATGGAAGTATCTGGAAGGCTAATGTGGGAATACCATAGTTGAAAGGTCAAAAATTTCTGACGTAGTAGTGGACAAAGCAGGGATCTCAGCAATAAGGAAGCTGATTCCTAGCATGCCTCTGGTAGATTAATAATCTAAATTGTATGGTTCTTGGTGGCTGGGAAATTTTATTATCCTTTGAGTTCTTAATATAATTTCTGGCCCATAAGTGTATAATAATAAATACTGGTTGAATAACTAAATTAATTCTCTAATCCAAATTTCCCAGAAACAAGAACTCCTTCCTGTATATTAAAAAATATATATTTAAATTTACTAAAAGATATTTCAACAAGACAAATTTTTCTATTCTTCCTTGGAGCAACAGATCCTACCTCCTATACTATAATCTAGAAGCTATGGGCAAGGACTTTAAAAGACTTGAAAGTCAATTTTATTATCTGTACTTTTATTTTCAAGATAATTATAATACCTCAAGACTATGTATTCCAGAATTTGCCCTGCAGTTGTAGGTATTTTACCCTAAAGGGCCCCTTCTGTGTGTACAGAAATATGATTATGAACCAAGCCAGTTGCCAATAAGCAAATGAAAACCTTGAACATACACTGCAAATTCAGATTAAAAATACACTACTAAAATATGTAAATGTACATATTTTAACATATTGGAAATGGTGTAGTATAGTTCAACACTTAATTTCTGCTCAATGTATCCTAGCTCAATACTAAATGAATTACCTTTTGTTTCATTCACAAATTGCCCAAAACAAAGTCTCTTTATATTTAGACCACACTAGCACAACTTATGTTTTCCTGGACATTTTATTTGACTTTGTTATTAAATTATGAATTGTGTCATTAACTTCTTAAAACTAACAGTTGACTCAGTCATACATTTTTAGTAATGGAACTCATTTTCTTCCAGAACTTTCCATGACTTATTACTTCCTGTTGAAACCATCCTGTGACTTCTCTTTATGTCACTCTTCAGTTGGATCATTCACTTAGATCCATGACTTCTTTCTTTTTTGTGTCTTTAGGTTATACTTTTTTTTTCATTTTCAGAAGAGCCATGTGAACAGTAGGACTTTATAGCTTAAATATTTCCTTTGTAGATTTCCTTTCACATTTAAATAAAAATATTTCTAAACATAAAATAGAAGTTTAAACATATTTTCTGAGACAGATGGCAGTTCATTCTCTGATACAACATAACCTGATGCCAAGCTATCATCTTTCTGCTGTAGATTACTTTCCCATTGAATAGTGCGGTGATTTCTTTTGTCTTTAGATTGCTGAAATTTGTCTGCACTTTTCTCCATTTCATTCTTTCTATAATCCGTGAACTCCTTCAACAAGAATCTTTCTGTTTCTGATATGTTTTCTATAATTTCTTATCTGGTCCTCCAACAGATATATGTAATAACATATATCTTCTTAAAACTTGACTTACATAGTCTAATATTTTTACTTCTTAGTGTTTTAAAATTTTATCTAGATTACCTTATTTTTATTGTGTAGATTACTAATGCAGGATTGCTCATATCAAATATTCATACTGATTATATTTTAATAATTATAGTAATCATATTTTTAATTTCTAAGAATTCTTATGCTTCTTTTCTTTTTTAATGACAGCTTGCTTTTATTTTAGACATGCAATGTCCCCTTGAAGCTCTCTGTGGTTTCTAATCTGTATTTTTAAAATTATTTCTATTTTTTTGCATTATATTTATTTCTTTTGTGACTACTTAGTTTTCTCTGTTGAGATTTTATATGTGGTAAATGCTGGTCTATCACTCATATTTATAAATTAGGTACTGTATTGGCCAATCTCTACCAGCAGAATTTGCTCTGCAGTTGTAGGTATGTTACCCTAAAGGGGCCCTTCTGTGTGGACAGAAGTGTGATTATGAACCAAGCCAGTTGCCAAGCAAGCTTCTCTCTAGATTTTGAGGCTGCTTAGCAGGTAGGGTAGCAATGAGCACTGTCTAGAAGACACTGTTTTCAGGATGGAGTACTTGGATTTATTTTATTCAGCAATGCCAACTTCACTGAGGAGATCCTGAAATATCTCTCTTGCTATTTCTTGCTTCTCCACACAACCAGTGGGCCTGTCACTGTGAGACCACCCATGAAGGTCAGGTTGAACTCTGATATTCTCTATAGCTAATCACTCCAGGTTTAAATTCACCTGTAACCTTTATCCATCCATAGGCTAAGGTGTGATTTCTTTGACTAAGATTTTCTCCTATGTAATTCTTTTGCTACTATCTTCTAAAATAATATTGATAATTTAGTCTGTTTTTTAAAACATCTTTCCACTTTAAGCATTTATTGTTTCTGATATACTTATTTCAGTAGTATGTTAGGAAAAACTACTTAATATACTGCATAATAAAAGAATAATATACTGCATAATAATAAAAGAAGATAGAACATTTGATAAGCTGTGGACACTATATTGGCAACTATGTATCAGTCATTATTTTTGATGGAAAGAGATAATAAAAGTTTGTTACTTCTAAATTCAGAGAAACCAACCAAGCTCAAGAAAACCAATGTAAAGTGGAATGATATCCTAGGCTAGTAAATATGGGGAATGATTACATCCCAAGGTTTTAAAATGGCAAGAGTAAAAATTGATGACTGATTTCCATAATAACTGAAGAAACTGTGTCTTATAGCAGGTATGGCTTCTGATAAAGGGATAGAATCAACCAATAGGAAGGAAATGGTAACAAATACTTCACCTCTCTTCTCACTGCCTCTGATTGGCTGCTGACTCCCACTAACGGAACCCAGTTGGCACAGCGGGGTGAAGAGAACTCACTGAAATCTGTTATGCAGGTCAGCCTCCAGGGTACAAAGCAGGTAACCAAAATGGAAAGTGGATCTGGATGGAGAAATGGGAAACACCCAGCAGAACTCACCCTTCTGCATTCATTTTGTGTTTTGACCAAATGGAACAGTGTGTGCTCAACACAGGACCACCCACAAATTCCCATCCAGTGTGTTGATACAATTCAGTGGTCTACTCATGTGGAACTTACAACAGAAGTTAATACCTGGGCTCTCATAAAAGGCATGAAAGTGAAACAGAAGAGAAAGTGAAAAACAATATGCACTGTAGCACTTCTCTGATGCAGTGTTTTATTTCTGATGCAAGTCATGAGGCCTGATTTCCTAACTGTCCTTTCTCTGCTACCCAATACATTTTTTTATCTCTTCCAGCACCTCAGACAAAGAAACTCTGTAAGGGACTGGGGATTTAGCTCAGCGGCGCAGCGCCTGCCTGGCAAGTGCAAGGTGGTGAGTTTGATCCCCAGCACTGGAAAACAAACAAACAAACAAACAACAACAAAAAACAAAAACAAAGGAACACCGTAAATGTTGAGGTGAACCTGAATGATCTGAGTTTGTTGTGTTCCTGCTTTAACTGTGCTGCTGTCATATCTGTTGGCCAGGACTTTTAGGCAAGGAAATACTGAGAAATGCTCCAGCGAATGTTGTGGGCTCCATACACGACTTCCTATCCTAATTATGTAGCAGGAACTCAGTTTCACTTTGGAATTTGGGATCAATCACTTTAGCTAATAAGTTACTTCTTCCTCCTCTTTAGGGGTTCAATCATATGAGGAAATACTAAAAAGTCTTCAATAGCAAATCAGGTTATTATTTATCATTACTTAATAATGCCTAAAATAGCATATACAATGATTTAAAGCTTAGAGGCAGAGGAAATTTGGAATATAGTGTTAGAATTTAATCTATTTCCATATCTCTATATAAAAATCCTCAAGGATTTATGAATGTGGTCCTGAAATAATTAAGACATTTCTTGTATCAGATATGTTTAATTTATTTCCTTTCATAATGTTAAACTTAGCTGGGTGTGGTGGTGTACACCTGTAACCCAAGAACTCAGGAAGCTGACACAAAAGATTGTTGTGAGTTCGAGACCAGCCTAGGCTACAAAGTGAACTCAAGGCCAGGTTGAACTACATAACTAGACCTTGTCTCAAAAAGACAAATAAAATAAAACAAAAATTTGTTTAACTGAATGGAACCTCAAAGACAATATTGTACAATCCCACCCAACCCTACCTGGCAAGCGCAAGGTCGTGAGTTCGGTTCCCGGTACCGGAGAAAAAAAAAAAAAAAAAAAAAAAAAAAAAAAAAAGTGTTAAACTTGGATAGCACCTAAATTTTAAAGAAGTAGGGAGAAATATGGTTTTTTGACTAGAATATAATTGACCATGAGAATAGCAACTAAATGCAGTCACAGCTCAGTAGCCATGGGGGTTGGTTTCTAGGACTTTTGTGGATGCCAACATTCAAGGATGCTCCAGTCCTTTATCTAATGAGGTGTAGTATTTGCATCTAACCTGGGAACATTTTCTCATATACTCTAATATGTAATACAGTATGTTATGAAAATATTTATCATGCTGTACTATGTAATGAATAATGACAAGAAAATGAGTCTGTTCATGTTTGGTAGAAATGTAGTTTTGTAAAAAAATTTTTTTGATCTACACTTGTGTGTATTCATACATGTTAGAAACCTTGAATGTGGAGAGTGGGGAGGTGGCTGTAGTTAAAATATTATTGAAGATTTCACAATTTGCCTTACTGTCTGCTATACTTAACCTACCATATAACATATCTACTACAAACATTATTTTTAGTTAATACATTAATAAGTTCAGCGATGCTTTCTGGATCTTAAACATAAGGTAGTATGACATGCCAAACATGAACAAAACAATTTACATAAAATATTTTATTACATTTTAAAGAATTTCACTAGATTTTTTTCAGAAGTTCCACCCACTTCTAGTTATCTTGTATCTGATATACTTGAGATTCCTGAAGACAAGGGTGTCATTTTTGGAGGGGCCCATGAAGATGTCCATAATTTTTCATGTGTTCATTACCCAGTGGAGTCAGTGGGGTCTCCAGGGCCCAAAGCTGTGGCACTGGCTGTGGCTACACTCTTCAAACGAGCTCAAGAGCAAGTAGTTCAAGTGTATACTTGACATATTTCCAAATTTTTCTTGGTAAGGTTGCAGAAATGTTTGCAGTTACTGACACATTATTCAGATTTTATTTTTTAACATTACTGGTAGTAAATAGACTTACATAACTGTTCTGATTGCCTGTTTAAATTTTTATGTGTAAAAGTAGATCCCATGCACACAACAGTTGTAACCTGTAAAAGAAAAATAACTAACTAAACCTGGCCCTGATCTGAGAGCTGCATGGGGAGTTTTCTCTCCACCTGCCTGGCATTCCAGTGCCTGAACTGATAGAAGCAAAAACATTTTAATATAGAACACCTCTGCATGGTCACAGGAATGTACACATACTCCCACATAGTACAGATTTACACGCATGGCCAGTTGACCTCAATTTCAAATGTTTAATATTTTAAGAGGCAAACAAAGCTAACTATGACATTATGGGCATCAGGGGTAATTCTCAAGAGGCAGAATGATGATATTCTGAACCAGTTGTCCATTTAGCATCTTCAAAATATGGCTACATGTCTTATGTAAGCTCCACTGAATATATTTTATATAAGCAGTACACATTTTCTCCAGAGTCTTTGCTGATTGCTGTCTTTAGTGATGTTCAAGAAGTTTTGTGAAATTAGGTGCTTTTTATGAAGCTCTTTTGTCTTGATAAATTCCTTTTGACTCTTTATCATGCATGCCACCCAGGCTGGAATTTCTGTAGACCAGCTGAAATATTTACTTGAAAAGAAATAAAAAATCAGAAAGAAATGTTTCTTTAGAAGATATTTGATTATAATTTCTATATTGGAAAGAAGAAATTATGTAAACATTTAAAGTAGCTTCCTCTAACATATAATGACTTCTCTCTGTATAGTTTCATTTAAGAATACTTTTGTAAATTGTGCCTTGTGGAGCATAGCTGTAATCGCAGAATTCTACGAGGCTGAGACAGGAAAATCACAAGGACAAGCCCAGCTTACGCAACTTGGCAATTTAGCAAGACCCTGCCTCTAAAATAGAATAACATAAAGTAAAATAAAATAAAATAGACTAAGGATGTAGTCCAGTGAGAAGGTCCTTTGTTCAACCTCTGAACCACACAAAGAATATTTTCATATACTAAATAATATGCAAAACTATAACACTCTAAATTTATATAAATGAATTATTTTGAGTGAAATCTATGGATTATGTTTTACTGTTTAAAATATCAACCCTTTGATCTACTTTCCAATATGAAGATACTATGAAATTATCTCAGAGTAGTGACACCACAAATAATCAATTTTAACTAAGTAACCATTTACAGTAATTGACACAGAAATGATTTTCAGGAATACCCGTGGGAGAGTTACCCATGAAAACAAATTTAAAAATTTCCATTTACACTTCTTTTGATATTCTGAACAATAAAATTAAATCAAGTTAAAACTTAAATGTGTTTCAGTATCTTTAATAATGTTGTGACACCAGGCTGTACAAAACATTTCAATGCTATTAATAGAAATTGAATGTGAGAATGGCAGTGATTGCTAGAGGAAAACGACAGAAACATGACACTCCAGTATTCCTGTCGGGACCATTGGAATGGCACACACAGATCTGTCTGTTTGCTGCCAGTGTGGAATCTGTAAACTCTCACTCAGCTTCCAGGCCCCCGTGATGGCTAGGAGTGGGCGAGTGCGTGTTTGTGTGTTTCTTTCTGTATGTGGATGTCATCTCTTGCATGTGCTCTGCGGAGTGACAGAAGACCTGGCCTTCCCTGCTGCTCTACCGCTCCCTTCTGGGATGGTTAGAGGGCTGGCGGCCAGGAGAAGAGGCTCCGGCCGTGCGTGGGTGGCTTCTGGGATATTCAACCTCAGTGCTTTCAGGGTCACAGTCTCAAAAGTGAAGAGGGCTGTGAGCGATCCCAGTGGTCCTCTGGATAATTTATGTAACACATTTTTTTCTTCTCTTTCAAAAAAATGTATTTATTTAGGTTTATGTCTGCCCAAACTTGAGCTTTCTCACACGTTTTGGATGCTCATTTGGCCCTGCAAATTGTGTGAAAGGAACCATCATGCACGGGCTTCATGCATATTCAGTCTCTGGACCTTGCCTCACATCTTTGGCTTCCTAGGATGGTCAATGGAATATATTTGTTTCTACCTGTAGACTTGGGGTAATCTGATTCTGATATGTGCTAAGGCCTAACTTCATGAGAGATCATTTATTTTAACAAGCTAACTTTTACAACATCAGAGATTAAACAGAAGCAGAATTTGTGGTTACTGACGGGCAAGATTACTTCTAAAGTGTGACTTGGTGATCATGTATGTTTTCTCCACACGTTTTGCATGCATCATATAATCTAATTAAGAGACAAACTGAAGCCAAACTTTTATTATTTGTGTAGCACTGAATCTAAGTTTATGCGAATTTGCTTCCTTCCATGAAATTATTCTAATTGTCCTTAGCTAGCATCTACACAAATAATATTTCCTATTATAAAAATTTTCACAGTAAATAAATTTTATAAGTAAAGGTCTTGCATTTTTAAGTATGACTTTAACTGTACAAATAATAAAAAGTTCACAACAAGCAGAATTTATAAAATTCAGTCATATTTGTATAAAAATGAGTTTTATTCTTTTGCAATTCTAGGTAATATTTACTGTGTAGTTATGCTAAACAGATTCATCCCTTTCATGTCTTTCTTGAAAGAAAATGCAGTCTTTGTAGTTAGTAGATTTTTAAAAATAATATCTATGACAAAACTCCTTAAATTTGCACCTAGTACAAATGTCCAAAAATTTTCCAGTATAGGTTCTTAGACCTATGAGTAAGATTTCTTCATTATGGTATATAATTGAACCAATTTAGTAATGACACTTACTTTTTCAAAAATGGTTTTATTAATTTATGCTTACATTTGGTGTAGTTGGTCACTCTTGATCCATAATCTTGCCAAAATTTGCTATTTAAAGACAGCGAAGGGGCTGGGGATTTAGCTCAGCGGCAAAAGCGCCTGCCTGGCAAGCGCAAGGTCATAAGTTCGGTTCCCGGTACCGGAGAAAAAAAACAAAAAAACAAAACAACAACAACAACAAAAAAGACAGCGAGTACATTTATAGCTTCAATTACCTGAAATTCACAACTCACAGCATAATTTAGTTTTGATAATTCAATTCTCTTTACCAGACTGGTATGGGATTGAACACTTTCCTTTTTTTGGTAAGG